ATGATTTTATTCAACTAACAATATTGTCCACTCAAGGTAGTCGTTTTGTAATTATTAATAAATATACATTTGTCCAAACTAGAAGTCTCAAGTAAGTTGCAGACTTTCGTGAACTAGGTATTTATTTCGTCATACCGAACTATGCCACGTGGTCACTATAACCAAATCTTGGTTATTATAACTAAGCCTTTTTCTGGGTGTATCGCGATAAACTTATCGCGAAAAATACGTTTCCCTATTCACGTCGCAGGGTAGCACATTCACTATTCGCGTCGAAAAGTAGCACATTTCAGATTCTCGCGTAGAAGACTGGCACATTTCAGATTTTTGCGTGAAAAATTAGCACATTTCAGATTCTCGAATGGAAGACTAGCACATTTCATTATTTGGAAATATTTTGGAAAAGTAGCACATTACAGATTCTGTATGGAGCTTTTCTGTTGTTTATTACAAATAAAAAACGTTTATTTTCCTCGTACGTATTTCGACTCATATTCGCGTCTACCTTAGGGAATCTATTCATATATACGAGAAACATATATGTACACTCAGAAAAATGTTTAGTTAGTGACTATTCCGAAGGAACCCTACAAGGGCCAAAATAAAACTGCGTTCTGTAGCTTGAAAATTGTGGTGTGTTTTATTTTCCTATGGAAAGAAAAAGTTTAAATATAAGTGCAAAAGATATTGCGCGGCTTACACTTTCGTGTGTCCTTGTACTCGTTCCTTTCAGAAATGAAAGATTTAACTTTTCTTTAGACACATTACAAATGGTAGTGCTACCGACTTAACTTTTATGGTAATTTAAAGCGCCAGGCAGGGTCGCATTATAGAATTCTAAAACATGTAAATTTGGTATGCAATATTCCTCCTCAACATCCCGGGCCCCATGAATCTATCCGCTGTTTGATTCACTAACGTCCAATTTAGCCAATACACACGCCGGTCGTTGGAACGTTCCCCCAGATGTCTTCACTTCGGCCACACGAATTTGTCCATCCTGACCGAGCTTGACGTTGATTATCCGCTTAATTCGCCACTTGGACCGATGAAGGCGAACATGGCACACTAGCACCAGGTCTCCGATAGACAACGGTTTCACGGGCTTCCACCACTTAGTCCTACGGCACAAGTCTTGGAGATACTCTACCAGCCACTTCTTCCAGAATCGGTAGCGGATTTGTTGCATTTTTCGCCACTGCGTCCTAATAACCCGGAAGGACTCTTCTTGTGGGAGAAAGTGGTAAGGGGTTAGTGGTTCTTCATCGGGAGTATCGAGAGGAATATGCGTTAGCGGCCTCGAGTTAACTACATTCTCGGCTTCGCACATCACGCTATACAAGGTTTGTTCTGGCAGCCGCTCGTTTGTAAGTGCATGTTGCATTGCGCGCTTCACGCTGCGCACCAGCCGTTCCCAACATTCGCCGACGTGGGGGTTAAGCGGGCAGTTAAACACCCATTCGATACCCTGGTTCGACAGCGCGTCCGCAATTTTCCCATCATTGAAATCTTCGAGCTGCTTCTTCAATTCTCGGTCCGCACCAACGAAGTTGGTGCCATTATCCGACCTTATTCGCACTGGTGTTCCTCGCCGGCACATAAAACTTTTGATGCACAACAAACAGGTATCGGTGGGCATGTCCTTGGCGATTTCCATGTGCACCGCGCGCGTCGTCAAACAAGTGAACAGCGCAATCCATCGCTTTTCGGTGTGCCTTCCATTTACAACCAAGAACGGTGCCATGTAATCTAGCCCTACGTACGAAAATGGCCTAATAAAGGGTAATTGGCCCATTTGCGGCACGTCTGGCTTTGCGCGTTCTTTCTGGCATTGGAAACATCTTTTAGCCGCCCTTCGTACCTCTTCTCTTATGTGGGGTATCCAATATTTACGACGTAACTCGGCAACGATGGTGTTTTCATTTTGGTGTTTCCAAGTTCTATGGTAAAAGTCCACGATGAGGTCCGTAGTTTGGTGCCGCTGCGGCATCACTACGGGCTCGCGGGTGTGTCCGTAAACCGCTACGGCATTTCGAAGGCGGCCATTTACTCGTATCACGCCCATGTCGTCGAGAAACGGTGTTAGGTTGAACAGTTTGCTCCTTGCATTAATCTGCTTGCGGTTCTTCAGATCACAGTATTCGTCTGGATAGGCGCTCTGTTGTGCAGCGCGAATGACCAATAGCTCAGCTTCTCTTAGCTCCCTTACCGTCAGCCTGCCCGCTAACCTCTTCTGTACCATGTTGGAGCTGTTGTGTATGAATCTGCGCATGAAGGCAACCACCCTTACCAACCGTAAGAACGATGAAACCCTGGGCAAGACGTCCTCATTAAGCGCAGCTAATAACACCATGTATTGAGCTCGCAGTTCCTCCGTGGTGCCTTCAGCAGCCTTGACCCTCGGCCAGAATGATTCATCTTTCTTCAGGAAGTCCGCGCCACTGAGCCAGGATGACTATCGGGTGGTGCTTTGGAGCCGCGTACCAAAGTCAGCAGGATTTAATGATCCAGGTGTCCACCTCCACTCGTTCGGTGTGGTTCCACCGAGGATTTCATTCACCCGATTGGCAACGTATGGTTTATATCTTCTATGGTCTGAGGTTATCCAAGAGTGGACTGTTTTTGATTTCGTCCACATAACCACGCGTGATGGTTCGATGTCGTGGTAACTCATTACAATTTGCCGGAGCCGAGAAGCTAATACTGCTGCTTATGACTCGAGTCTAGGAATAGTCGTAAGTTTGAGGGGCGCACATTTTGTATTCCCGATTACCAGTGCAACTTCTACGTTGCCATGGTTTTCGATTCGCCAGTACGCCACGGCCGCAAATGCTGCTTCGCTTGCGTCAGCGAAAACGTGGAGCTCGATAACTCCTTTCGAAAAGGAGGCACTGTAGCAGCGTGGGTCCTTTATATCCTCTACTCGAGTCAGCGTACTTAGCAATGTCCTCCACAACCTTTGCGCTACTTCCGAGATTTCGTCGTCCCATCCTAATCCGGATCGCCAAACCATTTGCAACAATGATTTTGCCTTTAGCACGTGCTCCGCTGCAATTCCAAATGGATCGAAGACTGACATTGTAACGCGAAGTAGTTCGCGTTTTGTTGGGACACACTTCCCTCGTCGAGGGAGGACGAACTTCAGCTCGTCATCCACCGTATCCCACTGCATTCCTAAAACCTTGGGATGGTCCGAATCTGGTTTATCAAAATCTTTCAGCATTCCGGAGTGATGCCCCCTATTCAGAGCCTCGTAAATCCACCTTTTTTGTGAATCATCTTTACTTGTTGAGCTATTCGCACAGCTTCTTCTGCGTCGTCAAAGCAGTGAACGAAATCGTCCACGTAGTGGTTGTGTAATATCGCGTCTACTGCCTCAGGAAAATCCGGGTAAACTGAAGTGCGTTCGTTGTCTTTACATGCTGCGCNCTGCATTCCTAAAACCTTGGGATGGTCCGAATCTGGTTTATCAAAATCTTTCAGCATTCCGGAGTGATGCCCCCTATTCAGAGCCTCGTAAATCCACCTTTTTTGTGAATCATCTTTACTTGTTGAGCTATTCGCACAGCTTCTTCTGCGTCGTCAAAGCAGTGAACGAAATCGTCCACGTAGTGGTTGTGTAATATCGCGTCTACTGCCTCAGGAAAATCCGGGTAAACTGAAGTGCGTTCGTTATCTTTACATGCTGCGCTGCGCAGGGAGAACACGTTGCTCCAAACGTCATCACTCTCATGCAGTACTCTTCAATGTCGTCTTCGGGGGATTCCCACCACAGAAACCTTTGCGCTGGTTGGTCTTNCTGCGCAGGGAGAACACGTTGCTCCAAACGTCATCACTCTCATGCAGTACCACCACAGAAACCTTTGCGCTTCTCGAATAGTAAGTAGGAGTTCAGGGATCTTCCCGAGACCTGCACTGCTGCACCGAACACGAGGCGCACCTTCCCATTCTTGTTAGGTTTAAGGACGCCGAAGCGTGGTAAATACCATGTTCTTGGATGTTTGCCGAGGCCTCATCTTTACTCAATTTCCTGGAGTATCCTCTCGCGTCGTGGTGTCTCATCATATTGATGTACTCGCACCTTAACTGTTCGCTATGTGTGAATTTCCTTTCCAGTGCCAGGAGCCTCCTCTCCGCCATGCCGCGGGTATGTTCCAATATGCTATCGTCGGTTCTCCATAACAACCCTGTTTCATAGTGATCGCCAACTAGTACCGTGGTTGTTTTAATATGCTTCGAACTCTTAATTCTTCCTGCGGCTCTACATGTTTAACGCTAGATGCAAACCCCAAGTCGTTGCTCACCACGAAGTTCCTGACCAGATCGTCCGCAGATTCATCTTCGAACGTCATGTCTGCGACGTGTTCCCGCACCAGAAATACTAGTCCATCCGTTTAGGTTTTCTATGTATGGAGCCGTAGATCACCCAACCAAGCAGAGTCAAAACTGCGACCGGACCCCGTTGGCCATTATTAGCAATGCGCTTCGCGATACCTAGATGAGCGTTGTCTAGTCCTATTTGTAGATGTGGGGTGACATCCGCATAGCCCTCTACCGGCAGTTTCTTCAAATGCCGTTGCCGTACGTGGAGTTCGTTGATATTGAGCGTCTCTTTCGGTAGCTGCAGATTCCCCACTGTCTAACGTTGTGAAGGGGNAATGCGCTTCGCGATACCTAGATGAGCGTTGTCTAGTCCTATTTGTAGATCTGGGGTGACATCCGTATAGCCCTCTACCGGCAGTTTCTTCAAATGCCGTTGCCGTACGTAGAGTTCGTTGATATTGAGCGTCTCTTTCGGTAGCTGCAGATTCCCCACTGTCTAACGTTGTGAAGGGAAAACCTTTAACACCCTTGGCCACGCCTGCACGCTGCTGCTCCATGTTTACCGCCATCGAAGATTCCGTTGCTATATTGTTACCGAACCACTGTAAGGTTAATTGTTGCTTCGGTGCAGTGATACCAAGCTTAGTTGCGATTCATCAAGCTTAGTGATGACCCTTCGTCGAGGAGTGCATAACTGTTTACACTCTTACCATTAGCAAACAGTTTAACTTGAAGTATTTTAAACAATAGAAGTTGACCCCCAGGTGACACCTCGGCATTGGTAAGTATACGCGGCCTTTGCTCGGTCTGCTGGTAGCTTTCTTCTCTTTGGGGCCGAGGCTCGTGTAGAAGTGCGTGCCATTTTTTGACACACCTAACGTTCGCGCAATCGTGTTTGCGCCTACATGTTGTGCCTCTGTGCCCAGACTCAAGCAATTAAAACAAAGGCCCTTTTCACGTACGAAGCGCCACCTCTGCTTGTACGGAAGACCTAAGAACTGGCTGCATCGCTAGAGGTCATGGTGACCGAAGCACATCTTGCTCTCGCCCTTGTGTAATTATCGTNGGGCCGAGGCTCGTGTAGAAGTGCGTGCCATTTTTTGACACACCTAACGTTCGCGCAATCGTGTTTGCGCCTACATGTTGTGCCTCTGTGCCCAGACTCAAGCAATTAAAACAAAGGCCCTTTTCACGTACGAAGCGCCACCTCTGCTTGTACGGAAGACCTAAGAACTGGCTGCATCGCTAGAGGTCATGGTGACCGAAGCACATCTTGCTCTCGCCCTTGTGTAATTATCGTGACTCTGTAGTGTGGAAAAATCTCTGACGTCTTTCCGCTTTCGCTTCCGACTGCCGCTCCGTGTCACCCATGGTGGTACAAACCGTTCTGATTACTCTCGCCTCTTCTTGAAGCCACTCGCTAAGGTATATAACCGTTGGTCTTGGTTGTATGCCCAAGGAATACCGCACCCATGCTAACTTGCGCTGTACGGGTAGCTTCGATACGAGCTCCTCCATTAAAATAGGATTGCTAAGGTGGTGGTCACAGTCGGCGGCGTTTAGAAATGACGCTAGGTTTTGTACTTTTGTTGCGAACGAAATAATTTGGTCGATTTTGTTTTCCGGAATGTTTGGAACGTTACGTGTACGCGTATTTTGGCTTTTGATTAGCAACTCTGGTCTGCCGAATCGTTCCTTAAGCGAGTCTAGAACCCGAGTAACATTCGCGCTGTGTATGAGCAGACATTCGACTGTCTCCCGCGCCTTACCCTCCAATGCCTTCTGCAACCTTAACATATTCTGGCGCTCGGTGTAGTGGTACTCTTCCGTCGTAGCAGTAAACGCTTCCCTAAACATAGGCCAGTCTTCCGGTCGACCATCGAACTCGGGAAGGTCGCATAACCTGATCACAGGTTGTGTCGGCACATGTGATAATGCGCGATTCAGCTCACTGACCGCAGCTACCAATGTATTGCCTACCGCTTCATCGCCTTCGCTGTTCGAGTCCGCCGATGCCGCTACCGCTTGCTGTTGTTGCGCCAATGCTCTTTTAAGGTTTTGGATTTCCCGCATCATTGNTGCTGTTTTAAGGTTTTGGATTTCCCGCATCATTGCAGCTAACTGTGCCGTTACACTAGCGGCACTTTGTTGGTTAGCGGCTGCAGAAAGTTCTCGAACGGTTTCGTCGAGTTCGTTTTCGCTGTCCGCCATTTTCGATGCGGATTTCGTAACTGGCATTAATTAGTTGCTTAATTCCCTACCTAGCACTCCCGATTGACCTAACTACATATACCCCTAAACCTGAAGGATACGCTTACCGGCATTCCAGTGGCTATTCCTGATTATAGGTGTAAATTGCTCCTAGGGCTCCGCTGTGCTGCGCCACACTTCTGGTACTAAATTGCCAGAAAGTGAAAATAAAAGCTATTCCAAAGGAACCCTACAAGGGCCAAAATAAAACTGCGTTCTGTAGCTTGAAAATTGTGGTGTGTTTTATTTTCCTATGGAAAGAAAAAGTTTAAATATAAGTGCAAAAGATATTGCGTGGCTTTCAGTTTCGTGTGTCTTTGTACTCGTTCCTTTCAGAAATGAAAGATTTAACTTTTTTTTAGACACATTACAATTGGTAGTGCTACCGGACTTAACTTTTATGGTAATTTAGAGCGCCACGCAGGGTCGCATTATAGAATTCTAAAACAGGTAAATTTGGTATGCATTATTCCTTCTCAACAGTGACCAAGTGGAATAGTTGGATATGGCGAAATAAATATCTAGTTCACAAAAGTCTGCAATTCCTTTGAGACTTCTAGTTGGGACAAATTTATATTTGTTAATAATTACAAAACGACTACCTTGAGTGGACAATATTATTAGTTGGATAAAATCATTGTTGAGCAAATATAAAGCTTTGGTTGATACAAGTTTTTAATTAATTTTGTGAACTTGCTGTAGACGTGAATAAGCTAACCGTTTATTATTGGAAAAAAAGTTTCAGTTTGACACAAATAAAAATTTACTCGATGGTTGTTGTGTTTACTTCTTTTATTTGCATATATTAAGCATAAAAAATACATGCATATTTACATAAATAGTTAGTGGTAAGAATTTCCTAAAAAGAAACGATGAAACAGGAATATTTAGTCGTGCGAAAACCCAAGTCAATATCTGCTGGAAGTGCTGGTTTAAGTATACTGCTTTGATTTTTCCTTGGCTAAATAGATACTTTCAAATAAAACTTCACATGAATTATATATCCACTGAGAAAGCCCGGTTGGCATCAAACTTTATACTTTTAAATAACTATGCGAACACCGAAACAACTCGCGGCGATGGCAAAACTGAAACTGAGACAAACAAGTCTGGGCATATCATAGCACACACCTTTCTTTCTCTACCTAGCGCAGTTATCGACGTGCCATAGCTTACTGAGCGCTCTGTGACCACACGCGTGTTTGACCCATGATTCAATAATACAAGGTTAGATAATTATTGACAGGTGCGGTTTGACACTCCCTTACAAAAGGTTGCATTTACGAAGGACAGAGAAAGGGCAAGAATGCAATCCCTTGTTGCGAAAATGGTAGTAGAAAAGTACGCAAAGTAGGCAATTAGTAGTGAAATTCCTTTTTTAAATTCTAATGTATTTGCAGGAAATCTGGCATTTTAAACGAAATGTTGAATGTAGTATTGATATATCTACGTGATTTACGTAATTTATATGCTACTTAGCTGTATAAAAACAGCAAAATGACCCAAAATTAAAATAAGACTACTATGAGATTGATGTAAACATCCAATGCTTATGTTTTCATCAGATAAATATGCTTCATATGCATATACAAATAAACATATTGCACAAAATCGTATACTTTTATTTCACACCAAAGCTACACTGTTTCCATGTAAATTTGCAAAGAAGCAACACGGTGCCACTGCTAAGGGAGCGGTGCGAGAGACACAACTGTCAGTTTATCTAACCTTGTATTATTGAATCATGTGTTTCACCCATATACGAACAGCGCTAGCAGCAGGGTTGCCAACTTTTCATTTTCAAAAAGCACCAAAAACTTGGTAAAAAAGGGGTTTTACCAAACTAAAAGCACCAATTTTTTTTTTAATCAAAGGATGCTTTTTTCATAACAGTTTGTATTTAACAAAAGCAAAAAATTAACAATATTTACAAGAATACATACATAAATCAATACACAAAACGTTTTCGCTCATTACGATTGAATAGCCTCTATACATGCTATGATGACTCATGCTTACGACGTATTACCAAAGTACTATTAAAACTATTATATCTCGAGAAAGAAATATCGAATCGCAACACACGAAAATAATGACCTAAGTAGAAATGACCAAAAAATTTGATGTTTTCATTATATAACTTCAAATATCGCAAAAACCCGTGTTTTTGGCAATCTGGGGTAGGATAAAGTGGGACTGTGGGCATTGCTTAGCTGGCGCCAAGGCGAATTTATACAGGGTGGTGTTGATAGATCAGCTGAGAGCAGAGATTTTCGCCGCGGTACTATTTAATGTCAAAATGAGCATGTAAACAAAATAGATCATTTTGACATTAAGAAGTGCTTGTGAAAATTTTGTGAAATTTCATTTGGGAATTATTATAAATAAAAGCTTGTACAAAAGAAAACAACCAAAATGAAAAAGTGTGTGTTGTGCTCCAAAAAATTTGAGCGTGGTAACGGGCCGTTTTTCACGGTTCCAGGCGAGGAACCAAAACGGCAGATGTGGGCAAGATCTTGCCGGATGCAGTTTGGACCTAGAGATCATTTTCCTATTTATCATTTCCTATTGATCATTTTCTGTCGAGAACGTGGACCAGTTTCACATATTATAGTCGATATTTTAAATGATATCAAGGGAAAATAATTCAAAATTCAACACCCGCGAGACATGTATATCTTAACAACGGCAACGGACGTTTGTCACAATCACTTGCAAGACAAGTCCCTTGCAAAGAATATCGATGAACTACTACACACTGGTAATAATTATGATTTGATTGACGATATCCCACGACAGTCGGGTCTACGTAACCGGAGCGACCCAGATTTATATCTGGCCAAGGACTGTCACTCCCCAAAAACTCTTTGTGGAATTTGTATGCTGTTACAACAACAACAACAACAACGAATTCATGAAAATCTATGACTTACTCATCCCGCACGTTTACATTCCAGAGCACGACAGAGAAATGCGGTGCGATAGGCAATCAACTAGTGTATTACTGACGATGTGTCGGCGCGAATGCGAATCACTTGCTTTCGCCTCACATTACTCTACCCTGGTCCGATATGGTTATATTTGATCACAAAAACCAAAGTTACTTTGTATTTAAATTAGTTATTTTGTATGTAAATTAGGACCATTGTAGCAATAAAGTTGAATTTTAAGAACAAGAGAAAGGAGCCTTCTATTAATCAGGTAGCTTTTGTAGCACTTACCCTCAAAATGCTAGTATCCATTCGATTTCAATACGTAGTTTATTGGTAATTCTATTCACTCTAAATAAATGCTTAAAAAATTACTAAAATTCGACTAAGACTGGAGATTTAAATTTAAAGACATCATACGCTAATGTGCATTCTAATTAACGATCTTTGTCTGGGTCATCCATCACATTTTCCCATTGTATGCCATCATGCGGTAGATCACTTTGAATAAACGGCAATTGCAAGGTGTAAAGGGAGGAAGTATCAGTGGTTGTTATGGCCAATGTGTGATTCTGTAAAGCCACAGTGGTGATCTCGTTTGAGAATGCAATTATCACAAATGCTGCAATGCCAAGAACGTGGTGGAGCCAGCATTTCGCAAGCCGACCAGTAGCGCCAAATAGAAATGTTATCACATGAACATCATCAAAAAGCAGCCCATATCACGCAAGGAATGTGGCAGGAATCTGCTCCGCAAAAGCATACCAAACCGCGAGCAACCCGCTTCCTTAATTCCGCTTTTCGTTAAATTGCGTACACTTTTATTCAATAATTTTGTTTTAATGCTTTTATTTCAATGCTTTTGTTTTTTTATTTAGATGTGATCAGCTGCTTTCTTCCAAGGATAAATTCGCCTTGGACTACGGCGAATGTATAAATTCGCCTTGTTTTTGACATTAAGTAGTACTTTTACAAAAACAAAATACACGCACTTTCTTGTTTTTGTTTTATCAACACCACCTTGCATAAATTCATATTGGCTGGCACTCTTCGTATGTGAAACACACATGCGCTCAGAGAGCGCTGAGCATTATTTAGGGGTGGCTCACAAGCATGAATATGTTCCGCTCTCAAAACAAATCGTGTTTGCCTCAACTAAGATTTGGTAACTATGACTAAACCATGTGTTGAAAGAGCATAAATGCAAATTAAAATTTTACCCTTACAGACGGCAGTAATGCGAATAAACCAGCCGCAAGGTCGTCGGTTCGAGTCCCACGGCCAGTATACTTTTTTTTTATTTCTTTTTCATTCTTTTTTTTATAAGTTCTATATTTTTTTTACGTCACTTTCAGTAAGTTGTTGTTGAAATTTTAACAAAATTCATCTCTAAAAATTAAAATTAACTAATAGTAAAATAAGAAATGTGATATAAAATAAAGCAAATGAAAATAAAATAAAGTAAAATTAAATACATAAATAAAATAAAATAAAAAAATATAAAATAAATAATAAAAACAAAAAAATTTTCGCAATCGCTCCAACCGAGTATCGAACCTGGAAGCTACAGGCTTGTAGCTCGCAACTCTCACCACTCTTACTTACACAAAAGACAAAAGACTTGTACAAAAGACAAAAACTGACCGTTTTTACCAGTGTTGTCATCGAAAATTTCCCGGATACGAGTTAATTCCCAAAAATTTCGTGCATTTGTTCGGCTGCTTATGCTCATTTTAAAGAGGAAAATGCATGAGTTAAAGCAAATTAAGGCTGGTTATGCAAATAATCGAGCCCGTTTGTCTACCGTATTATCTGTATTAGCAGAGCTTAATGACATCCTTTTATGAACCATACGTTAAGTTGATTAGTTTTTACCAAATCCTTCAACTAAATTAACGATTTGGTTCAACCTAGATGAATATTAGAAGCTTTAATATATTTAGCTAGAATTACCAACCCATGAAAAAAAAATGAGGGGGTTTAGAGCGGCTTTTTGCGATTCTAGATCTGAAAACCCCCCCTCCGGAGGCT